TGGAGCTTCTATCTGCAGCAGCAAAACTGTTCTTCGCGAGGCCTGGGGAGGTTCAGCCCTTCCTGGGGCGTATAGAACGCAATAGGGAGCGACATAATAATGCAGCTGGATGATGTGATCGCCTCAACAACAAAAAACCCCAAAAGAGTAGAAGACGCTATGCTGCGCTCCATTAGGTATTTTTTTACTGTCTCCTTTTATTTTTTTATTTTTTTTTTCTGCTGTCTCCTTTTATTTTTTTATTCTTTTCTCTGCTGTCTCCTTTTATTTTTTTGTTTTTTTTTCTGCTGTCTCCTTTTATTTGTTTGGCTTTCTGTCTCCTTTTATTTTTTTATTTTTTTTTTCTGCTGTCTCCTTTTACTTTTTTAGTTTACTGTCTCCTTTTATTTTCTTGTTTTTTTATGCTGTCTCCTTTTACTTTTTTAGTTTACTGTCTCCTTTTATTTTTTATTTTTTTTTTCTGCTGTCTCCTTTTACTTTTTTAGTTTACTATCTCCTTTTAGTTTTTTATTTTTTTTCTGCTTTCTCCTTTTATTTGTTTGGCTTTCTGTCTCCTTTTAGTTTTTTTTCTGTCTCCTTTTATTTTTTTATTTTTTTTTTGCTGTCTCCTTTTACTGTTTTAGTTTTCTGTCTCCTTTTGTTTATGTATTTATCTATTCTACTGTCTCCTTTTATTTGTTTACTTGTCTGTCTCCTTTTTTTTATTTATTTATTCTCCTGTCTCCTTTTTTGTTTAGTTTTCTGTCTCTTTCTATTTATTTATCTATTTATTCTGCTGTCTCCTAACTGTCTCCTTTTAGCTGTCTCCTTTTCCTTTTTTCTACTGTCTCTTTCTTTACTTGCATAACCAACAAATATATATATATATATATATATATATATATATATATATATATATATATATATATATATATATATATGTATGTCTATAGTAAACAGTAATATAAAACATCAAGCATCACTAGGTGTATAATAAGTAGATAAATAAATAAAATAGATAGATAGAAAGATAGAAAATTAAATTCTGTATTTAAATATATATTTATTAATATTTTTTATCTAAAAAAACAAAATATATTACTATCTCTGTTGTGTATTTGTGTGTGTATAGATGGCTGGATCGCTGTATAACAGCGCACAGATACAGTGACACTCAGGCCCTTCTTGCTATATACTAAATAAATAAAAAAATAAAATAGATAGATAAAAAGATAGAGAATGAAATTCTGTATTTAAATATATATTTACTATTTTTTTTTATCTAAAGAAAAAAAATATATTACTATCTCTTCTCTGTATTTGTGTGTGTATAGGTGGCTGGATCGCTGCATAACAGCGCACAGAAACAGTGAAACTCAGGCCCTTTTCGGTATTCTTCAAGGGGGCTTGGATCTGTCTCTTCGGCTGCATGCATTAAAATTAATTAAAAAAAGAAAGTGCCACGGATTTGCTATTGGGGGACTTTCAGGCGGAGAAAGAAAAAAAGACTTCGCTAGTGTTATTGAACTCGTATGTTTATATATATGTATATATGTATATATATATATATATATATATATATATATATATATATACCCTCT